ATTACGACTATGTCTCAACAGAATGCAATAAACCGACACAGTGCATGATATGGGCATGTAATAGCGCAATACACAAGGAAAATTTGATAGTACATAAGTTTTTAAAACAATTCGACCAATAGTTCTTCTTAGAAACTAAATTTTCTCCGACACAGTATAATGAGGCCTGTTTGCTACGTTACAAAAAAATATCAATTCGTTAGCTTAGTGTCATTGTATCGATGTTTAAAAATTTTTTTAATTAGTTTCAAGAACCCGTTTTTTTAAAAATGGTAAAGAATGGTAAACCGATCCCGTCAATCCGAGATCATAATTTAGAGCAGTTTGAAAGGCATCCCTCACCGCCGGGCATTCGTTCCATTGTTTCGCGGTTTCTATTCGAAGAAGTGAAATCGATTAATAAAATAAAAGCGAAATATTTACGTTCGTCGGGATGTTCGCCGTTAATGGTCGATAAAAATGACCGACAAAAATCGCTGTCTTCGGCGCAAAAAACATTTAATTCACTAAACATTTAGCCTGACATCTCGACAATTTCAGCGTATCTTGAGAATGAAACCACCGGCAAAAAACAGTCCTCGCGGTTGGGGAAACAAACCGAGAACCGGAGATAATACCGGGCGAATTATGGACGTCAGTGCAGTCGTTTAGGACAAATCGTTTACCTACTACGTTAAAAATTTAATTCAATCCCTTACATGAAGTATACTTTATCTACTTAAAAAATAATAGAGAGACTGAACGAAAGATGTATCTACTTTTTAAATAATATTACATATATTATCCTTTATTTATGATTTACATAGTTCCCTACAAGGAGAGTGCAAATATTTCACGATATCAGGCCGTTTAATGAAGAAAAGTTTACATAATGATAGCCTTAAATAATTCTAATTTACATATTAAAAGAGAATATCAAAGTTGCTAAATTATATTTTTTTTCTCTTTGGTAACTTTAAAACAAAATGAGCAGTTCTTCCCAAATTTTCTATATTATTATTAATTCCAATTACGAAGTAATTATTTATAAAAAAAGTAGGTTAATTTAACTCTGTAACATTATTTGTAAGAGGTTTAGGGGGTAAAGCACTATAAAAATGTATTAAAAATCCAATAAGAGTTGAAATTTCATTAATATGTCTTACCTTTTTTAAATGTACTTACAATGAAGCAAACGATGTTATGATTTGAATGTCCCGATATCATTATTGCCATATTATTCCTACTTGACAAACATTTCAATATCTAGAACTTAATGAACACCTTATTCTTTTGAAACTTCCTTTATTATAAAAAAGTTAATAGAATAATAGTGCGCTACTGGTTGAAATGGTGCGCGAAATTATACAAGAAATATTTGAGATAAACGAGACCTATCCATCATCGGCGATTCTGTCTTGCTTTTTATACTGTGGAGTAGATACATGCTGGTCTCCAATTATACTGTTGTTGACATATTTTTTCTTCTTTACTTTCCAAAGGTTTAATGTAATGTAAGTTAAAAAGTTTTCATGCAATTTTCATTTTTAAAGTTTTTTTTTTAATTTCATGAAGAAAATATTTCCAGATATGCCATAGACATTCACATCAAGACGAACTTTTAATTAGGTATCTACATTATAAATTACATTAGAATGAACAAATTTCAAAAAGTATAGCTATAATACGGGTACCTATTTGTAATAAAATAGATTAAATGAATAGAATGCCGGGAGTGGATATTTATTTACCTGGTATTCCATAGTTTTACTTGTATTACTTTTATGTAAATCAATGGCCGTCTGCAATTTCGCCGATCGGAACTACAATATCGATGCAAAGTTGGGCTTGTTCTTTTTCTTTAGATTGCATATTTTACTTCGGCTATACGAATTTTATTACTTTTGCATACTTTACAGGATCTCCAGAGGAACGCCAATACCCCAAAGGACACTTTGCCGGATTTTTCTTCGAGCTTAAATATTTGGTTTCCGTCGAAAGGTAAGTGGTTTTGTTTTTCTGAATATTTGAGTTCCGTACATAAATATATCCGCCTTTGTTTCGGTATTTCATGTTTTCCAGTTCGGAATTCACGGTAGGTCAGCTCGGTTTTAATCTTTTATTGTGCTTTACCGTACATTTTAAGCGCTCTTTTTACGTATTTTTCAAAGGGTGCTGACTCAAAATAATTTTCTGTCCGCGCAATTGCCTTTTATTTATTCGCCTTGTGAATAACGCGTTTGTACCAAATTCGTGAAAATTCATACGGGGAATTTTTGTCCCCCGTTGTAACAAAGCAAACACAAAGGAAATAGTGTGTTTCACAGAAACATTCACTTGACGACAAAACATATAGGTAACTTTATTATTATTTTACTTTATACGTATGTCATATATTAAACCTATCTGCAGTCTGGTTGGATGTAAAATAAATGCATTTAACATTGCAAAACCTTTATATGTACATATGTATATGCGGGAAAACAGAAACCTAAAAGAAGTAGATAATAAAAAGATATTTACAATAATGAATTTTCCCCAATAGATTTTGTTTTTTATTAATTAGCTAACCCTTTAATCACCAATACTAGTCTTGGAAAAAACAGTTCAAAAATTAATGACTGAATGATAAAATTTATTGGTATTTATAGTGAAAGTTAAAGTAAAAATGAGTTATAAACTGTAAATCTCAAGTAAGAACCAACTAAGTTGTTATTTTTGATTATAGCTCAATTTTCTTTTGCACTTACCTGGCAAACAAGAAGTATTTGAAATCATCCAAAATTACTTTAAAGCTATTTCCATCTTTTATGCTTCAACCTTATCCCTTGTGATTGCAAAAGTTGACAAACTAAAATAAATTTCGTTCGGCCGTTCATCATAAAAACTCTCACAAATGATGTTCAAATAAATAAGTTTACCGTGAGTTGTTCTCTCAAGCTGAAACGGCCCTATAAACCTTTAACTTTTGCTGTTACATCCGGCATCGGACTTTGTCTCAAGTATTCGCTAGCAACTCCAATAAAAGATACGTATATGGAACGCTACGTTACGAGTGTTTTCCTGTTTTTAAGAAAAAACATCATTCTATTTTGTTTCTTCATTTAATAACTGACAAACAGAAAAATAAAAAAATCAAAGTTGTATAACTTTAAGAATTCGTTTCTCGAATCAGTTTGATGCATGATTCGAATTTGTTAACATACTAACATTCGTTGAATCCAAAGAAAACATTTTTCCCAATTATTAATTTCCTTTCCATAAATCTACCGGCAACTTCTTTCGGAGCTCGGCCTAAAATTCGATTTGCTGACAACATGTGTTCGAACTGTATCGATCGACAACAATGTATTTTTTTATTAAGACTTCTTTTATGAGCAAATGAAGCGGCAGAGCAAAATACAAGCTTTAGCTTCTCGTTATATTTCCCAAAACTCTGCGTTTAATATAGGTATCGGAGAAGAGCTTAACTTCGATATATTTTCAATTAAAAAAAAATTGTCCGGAGTCCATTAATCTTATCGGCTAAGCGGGCACCGAAAACATTTCAAAATCTTTACACTCGAATAAATTTCGAAGTGACTCCATCCGATCCTTATCTGCAAGGATTAAGAGACGGCTACTCAAAACGATCACCTGTTTAAAACATTTTACTTCTTAGGTCTGATTGCCGATAACACTTACCTTACCTACTTATTTCCATCCCATGCTCAAAGGATATTAATTAATTGCTAATTAGGGAATTGTAATTTTTAGAAAAGGGAATTATACATTTATTCATTACAAGTATAAAATTTATTTATTAAATATTTATAATTAATTTAATTACTTTAAAATTTCCTTAGTTCATCCTCATCAATACATTCAATGGCAAAATTGCAAAATATTTTTCGTTTATCAATTTTTATTTAGTATCTTTAGGTTTCGGCTTTTTCTTATCCTCATCTTTTGGTGATGTACTCGTTCCTGTTATATGCTTTTTAAGAGTATCTAAAACAGTTACAGCTTTTCTCCAGAAGAAATTCTCTTCGCGGCGCACTTTCTTCTTAAATATTTCATTGTATGTTTCAAATTGCCTGTTAAAACTTCTAATTTTTCGGTACAATTTTGCATGTTGATAAGTCTTGTTCATAAGTAATGTGTAAAAAAATATAATTTAATAATTAAATGTCATGGTTTAATTGACATTTCTTCTTTTTTCGCATGCTGACAATGTGCAATTAATCATGTATTAAATAAGTAATCGTTTCTGAAAAAAACTTTACACATCCAAAAAATCTATGTATAATTCCATTGGTCAACTTTTAAGTACTACTAGTTTCAAATTAAACAACATTAATAAAACCCACCTTAAATGAAAATAACTGACGTACATCTTTCTACTCATCAAAGAAGAAGACATATTGGACAGTAACATCAAAATCATTAAGTTCGTAGAGCCAAAAAGTTGCCTAAATGCACACACAATTATGGAGAAATTTTTCAGCCGGTGGAGTTAAAAGGTATCCAAAATTTCTCAATGATAAATTCAAAGATAGGGGCAACACATTCGAATTGGAATACATCAGAAAGCAAATGAACGAGCAAATCGAGAAATTAAGGCAACAATTAGTCAGCAGGAGACGAGAGTTGAAAGAAGATGAAAATGGCGATGATAAAGTAAATGGAAAGAAAGATGAAGAAAAGAATGGCGATAAAAAGGATTAAATAATATGTTATTATATCGAATACATGTTTAACTACTGGGTATTATACGAAATCATATATGAATTTACTAAAATAATTGCATAAAAGTATATGGTATTTGTTTCAATATTTTCTTGTTCTTTATATTTTCGCCAATTCATATTATCCTACTCCTATCTTAATAGTTTTATTACTACCTACTATAAAAAGATGACATATTAGATAGTCATTTATTTCATAATTATCTTCTTCTAAATACTTTAAACGCTTTATTTGAACTATGAACTTCCTTCTTGCAAGTCAACATAATTTTTGTCACTGTCACTAACTGATATGTTTCATTTATTAATTTCGATACATACATAAACACTAATGTTATCGTAACAAAATTTACAGTAAATAAATACAAATTAAATGTGAACGTGCACCGCATCTAGCGCTTTAAAAGTGAAATGCAATCTAGTATAATTCCCAGTATTGTAAAATATCGCTTCTCACTGTTGTTCCACAAACCTCGCCCGTACAGCGACGATAATGATAAATTCGACGAGAGGCGGAAGGTCTTCGAATTGGAATACGTACTCAAGCAGACGCATATTCAACTTAAGGAATTAAAGAGGAAAATAAGAGAAAGAAGACGCGCAAAACGCGAGGAACTAGAACGGCGGTACGATGAACAGGAGAGGGCACAAAGGGAGCGCGATGAGAGAAATGATAGAGATAGATCTTAGATTGTTTTTTATATTCTTTAATAAATAATTAATAAAGCTGGGATTTTGGGTTTTGTATAGTCCTAAATGTGGTTTGAAGATTAATAATTAATTATAATAAATTTGTAAAAAAATATGAAGTTCCTCAATTTTTTTTCTTCACCCTTCTCTTGCTATAGCATTTTATTTTATTTACAAATAATTGGTGGTATTATTTACGTGGCATCATATTAACCACCTGGCACTCAATAAAAATACTTCATTATTTTATTTTGTTTAGAATCATAATCATGAAAAGAGATCGTTGAAGGACGTTTGATTCGTTCATTTTTCTCTCGACATTTTGTGACAATTCCTGTCATAAAATTAATCAACATAAAATTTTCAGTGCTTCAACACATTTTTTACTCAAATAACACCGACAACTATAACAAAAAAATATATTTAAAATGTACTAAAGGAACTAAATACAAGAAACCAAAAAAACAGATAGAAATCGACAGAAATTTAGGAAAAAATGTTTATGTCCACCCAAGATATATTGAAAGCAAGAGAAAAAGAAAGGTTAGAAGCAGCTAAAAAGGACAGGGAAGAACGACTACTAGCTCTTAAAGAATTGCTTCCAAACGCCCCGACAACGGTGAGAAGAAAACTGAACAATTTGCTGCAAGACTTGTTCGATAAAAATGCTGAATACAGCGGCAAAACCAAAACTTTTAATGTTATGGCTATAATAATCGATAATCTGCATAGGTATAGAAAAATTACTAAGCCTACCAAGAGACACCAAGAACAACAAACAGATAACAAGCCTGAGCCCTTCAATTTTAAAGAATTTTGTGAAAAATATATTCTCCCTACACCAAAGAAATCGAAAAATTCGTTAAGAAAGAAGAAAAAAGGCAATGTGCAAGTTTCGAAATAGTATCCATGTTTCAACATTTAATACAAACGTTTTCAAAGAAATAAGTATTTAATTTTATTTTATTTATTACTTTTTTTCAAAATATAAAATTGCATTAAACTTTTATAAGTGGTACAATTTAGTTAAGTCTTCTGTATACTCTATAATAATTAGTTTATTTTATTTATTAGAGTTCTACAAAATACCACTTCTATATCCATATACTACGATGAATGACTCCATTCCACAATCAAACGCTTTTTAATCAAATTTGGAACTGCATACCTTTTGCAAACATTATTTTTAATGCAGATAATTGGTATAAAACTGAAATTCATATAAAACTGAAATTCGAATTTTCAATGGTTAAAAACTAAAAAAAAATGGAGACGTTTGTTATTTCAAAACGCATTCGTGCAATATTTCCAGCTAACTACTCGTTTTGAACGTATTATCTCCGACCTTTCAATCAGTAGTTGACATGTCTCGCGTGTTTACGATGAGAAAATAAAGATAATGCACCGTCGTTTTCCCGATAATTCCGTGTAAAAATTACTGGTTGTCTGCGGTTTTACAAACGTTTTCGACGTGTCTTCGATATGGAATTGTGTGCCGCTTATCTAGGATTTGGTGGAATTGAAGTTTTGCAACCCCTTTAAGCGAATTTTATTATTTAACGAACTGCTTTCATTCCAGCGAAGTTTGCTATAATCTTCCTAATTTAATTAGGTTACTTAAAATGATTATTTTAAAATGCAATTGTGAAAAATGTGAGAAACAATATTTAACAGTCCTAACGATATATCAAAATGATTTGGCACCTGCACTAGGAAGTGTAAAAATATCTTCAAAATTTGCATAGTAGGAACGTACGGTTTTCCACCGTACAATATTTTATATTTCAAATAAGTATACGGTTTAAAAGTACACGCTAAACGTTTATCTTGTTGTAGGTATTCTAAGAATCGTACAATCTATTATAACTTAACCAGTTTCATTCCCTATGGGTTGTATAGCTAATAGACATGCTCGAGTACAGGATGCCCATTGAATTGCCGCCATAATATCTATTCAAATGTATAAATACCAAACCATTCATTCATTTTTACGTTCTTACTAAAACAATATCGAAAATTAACATTGAATCGCCTATATTCAGCGTTAAATATACTTTTGTGCGTTCGAAAATGGTTAAGTAAATATTGGTCGACATTCCTCGCTATTCAGTAAGAGCGAAGCTTGTTTTTATACGATTCACGCACTTTAGGAATGCCTATACATTATCCTTACAAGGTAATAGATATAATTTCGATGCTTAACAGATGCGATATTGCTTATTTTCGCGCTTCTTCCTGCTTCTCAGTATTCCTTAACTATTTTATATAAATTAACAATGAGATGAACTTTAACATTTGATAATTGACAGTTGATACATTACCTTTGACAAATTATAATAGTAACATGTTTTAACAAGTCATTCACCTATATACTATTCATCCCTTTATATATTTATCTTAGCAGTCTTTCCTTCCCTTTAGCTGTTCTTCCTTAGGCATCCTTTCGGACTTGCAGAATTTTTTTGTTGCAATCATTTTGCATTTTTGTATTCTACAACCTTTATAATTAGATAATAATAAAGTATTAATGGCTCCTGTAGATTCTAATATGAAGTAAATCTCGTTTGAGCCATTATATTTTACATGATAAACATTGAGGATGGAAACATCATGAAGCCATCAGACAGGATATGATTCACTGTACACATACGCGTACACGACACTATACATTATACATACATTCTCCAAGAAGTAAGTACACTTAAAATGTAGTTAGTCTCGTATACAAACGAACGCGAGAAGCGAGCAGAGAAAGAAGAAAAGGAAAAAGTCCGCATAGCACGGCATTTTAAAGAGATATATTCTTTTTATCTTAATGTGCCGCTATGCATGTACAGATGTGAATAATTGATTAGATAGTTATTTCTGTTAAAGTTCGAATGAAAAAAAAAACTTTTCAGACGTTTAATGTGCTGGTAAAAAGATCATAAAGCTGCGCGTCGTTTGAGATTTAAGGTTCTCATCATGCATGAATTTGCATTTCATAGGTTATTTATTTGCTGTATCTAATCTTTACTTATTTTTTCCGAAGCTCTCCAGAGAATCTATAAAATGAATGGCTTACGAACTAAATGTATTTTAATTAGTTAATTATCATTTTTAAGCCATTTGTAACAGAGAAAAATCAAACATAACTAATTTACGGCCAATTTTGTGGTAATCGTAAATCATACAAGATGGTTGTTGTTTATTAACTTCGCCTTCAATGTCAACATAGAACCATAAAACAAGTACCTTTTTAGGTTAGTGGTCCGGATATTTACAAAGTATAAATGGAACAATAAATTTCGGGTGTAAGTTAGCAAGAGCCCTTCTTGGTCCTCCAACGATAAACTCAAACAAAAGACCTAATGAGGGGCGGTCAATATATCAACCGAAAGAATAATTTCGAAGGGGATGGTCTAAGGACCCTTTTAGATTTTGGATATTTGGATACCATTGAATAAATCTCGCATGAATTTTACAAAGATCGATCACCTTGCAAGCTAAGATCATATTAATTAAATAAAATTTGGTCTCCAATCTTTTTAAGTAATTCTTCAGTTATTTAATCCTGAATAATTTCCAGTAGACAATTATCCAAACTTTCGTTTCCTGCAGTTGTTAGTTTAATTAACGATTTTGAATAGTGTTGGTATAATTTTACGTAGCTATTGATTAACATTTTCCATGCAGTTTAATTATCTCTCATTCCATTCCGTTGGTTAATCTTCTAGATAAAATAATATTAACGCTATGAAGCGCAATTAAAATGTTTAATTGCTGATTAAATTATGTATTAAGACGTTCTTTTAATATCAACCTTATCTAATTAATTGCAAACAAATCGACTAAAATCCCGTGCATTTGAATGGAATCATAGAAATTAAAGTTGAAACAACCGCACTTATCTTTGAATGCCTACCTAATTTGAATTCTATTTTAAGAAATTTAAGAAATTTTAGGCATTCATTATTTTGTATGCTACTTTCGATTGATGAAACGTCTCGTTAAAATTCATTTCGTCTCTTGCATTTCCTAAATGTGAAAACGTCCAGACAACAATAGCGAACTTATGTTAGGATCGTACACAAACCTAATCACGTTATTTTAATCTTGCATACGAAGCAGATGAAAATACTAACTTGGTTATCTAATAGTTGCATGTCTATTATTTATTTGTTTTAGTAGGTATTTTTCCTATTCACCGAATTACCCATTGTAGTATGTTTAAAAAATGCTATCAACAATATCCTTCCTAAAATCGCAGATCCAAAATGATAATAAATGATAACAGGAACAATACGAACCTCATCTTTTCGAATTAATAAATTTAAATTTAATCGGCTTTAAGTTTAAATTTTATGCTTCAAGCTCTTGCTTAATAAATTCCGAAGCTGCTAAAATACTGAGCTTCGTAACTGGTTCTTCAAATATTAATAACAGCACAGCGTTTGCGTTGTAATACTTCATCCCGTATAGTAAACTTTTTCATTTTTCCAAATGTCTAACAAATGTTCATCCCTGAGTTTTAACTTCTGGAATTATATTAAAATTTACCCATACATATCCACGAAGCGAGCGCATAGGTATATACAAAAAAATGTTCATCGCCATACCTGCACTCAAGTTCGACGATATTTCATTTTTCCCGATATTTTTTAATTAAAAGTTACCCGGCGAAAGCACTCTTTTACCTGAATGTACCGAAGCTGCGTCCAACAAACTCGAAACGTATATATCTCAATTTGATTTCATCTCATGTTTGATGTATTGAAATAATCAAAAATATAGCATATAGCATATAGTTAAATATCCTGAGGAAAATCGGAATTAACTTGCAAGATGTAAATAAAATGCGTTCGTCCTAGAATTGCGTAACTGTTGCTGTTCCCGTCCAGGGAACCGCTTTTGCAGCGAAACCGATCCTGATTTTGATCGCATTTTCCGGCGGTTTGGAGCCAATGTCGGGACTCATCTGAGCGAAATCGCCCTTCGTGCATGTCGATTCAGGTGTGCGAGTTGTTTGGATTCAACACGGGGTTTTGCAAACCTAACCAGCTGTACCGAAATCACGTACGTCACCGTAAACACGAGATACCTATTAATTTTGTTTGGCAATATAAGGTGTAGTGGTCTAGAAAGATTTCATTAAGGGAAACGCTGGGCGGGTTCGCACATACGCCCATACTGTTTTCATCGACGGGGATTAGGGCCCGGCGGTTTTTTTTTCTTCTTTTTTACTTCCGTGTTTAATCGAACGGTGACCTTTATCGATTATCGGTGAGCCAAGCGTCAGGTTAAGTTTTTTATACTCATTTAGCCACTGTCGCAAAGAGATTGTGTTTTCAAAAAAGCTTTTACATCGCCATTGCACGGGTCACAGGGCACAGTAATAAATTTCAGGTGATTAGAGAGCTAATGTACGAGTACATCGAAAGAGTTATAAAACCGTCAAACGAAAATTGTTTATAAAATGGAACGAGATAAAAGGATAAATGCGAGTTGAGATGAGAAAACGCAAATATGCCTATTACATATTTTACGGAAAATCTATAAATATAAATTAATTATAGGCTGGTTTGGCGTCGAACGTGTTGCAATTCGATCGGATCGCGATATATGGTTTTACGTTCTCACGTAAAAACTATTTTCTCGTGAAGCTCCGATTCTAAAGAGATACGCGTACCAGTAGCAAATTTATTCCCCGCGGTTATTGAGATATTCTAGATAATCGGTAATTAATTTCCGTTAATAGCGGCTTACAGATAAAATTACTACACTCGAAACTAAAACAGCGTACCGATAACTCACTCCTCTTTCCACTATACGGTCGAGAGTATAATTGAGGGTAATATTTCATAAGAGCAAGTTGGCAAATACATAAAATTTTCGGTGGTAGATCAAAGTTATTGCCGCCCGGGGCTGCTTGCGCAAACCTCTTCGGCCTCTTCGGTCTCGTTCGACCTTTTTTCTACTGTGTCCTTGTCGGCCTGGCCCTCTATATGCCCCTTTACTACATTTCTCTTTTTCTCCATTTGCAATTTACTCGTTTATTACGTTACTTTGAGCCATATTTCTGTCAATAAACGACTACCAGACCAATTTTTTTATCGACGAGTTAAATATGTATAAGCATTGTTTTATAGGATCTGGATGTAAGTAGATTATCAATCGAAGAATCAATCAGGTCCATTGCGTTCTAATGGTGCATTTAGTGTGGAAAAAATAAGTAAAAATCGTCGACTTTTGATCGTAATTTATTCAAAATTGAAGTGGATTTTAAAACGTATTAACGTAGGTATACCTATCTTCTCCAAGTGGAGAGGATACGAATGACGTGCTTCCACTCGTATATGTACTCAAGTTCAAACTATCATCACTATCAAACGACTGTTTATTTTAGGACAATCGGTATCCGTATAACGTTTGAAGAAACGGATAGCCGGCCGTTTTGTTATCTCACCTGAGTAATGTTGATTTAAAAGCGAGCGTTGTTATTTTAGGATTAGACCAGTCGGACCTCGTCCGTAGATATCGGTGAGAATAATATTTGGAAAAAGGGAGTTTCGGTTTAACTTCGGATGCAATTTGGAATTCTTCGCATATTTCCAATTGACGCGCAGATGTTTAGACAACGAAATGATATGATGCTGCGCGTTTTTCAGCTTGGATGTATTTATTTTTGTCGAACGTGATGGTCATTGATGTCACAAGACGATGTTTACTAAATGACCCAAACATTATAGAATTCTTGCGTTTATATTCTTTAATAATTAGAGAAGTATTCATTTAATTTTTCCACATTACCTATACATACTTATGTATCTCTTTGCAAAACGTCTACAATATCTACAGCTCAAGCACAATTACAGCTATTAAAACTCAATACTTAATGAAGTTCATATAATTTTATTTTTGTATTTTTTAGAATAAATAATCTGGAATAAAGAGTAATTTTTTGACTAGGTATCTAGGTATCAATTTGACTAAATTTAGCTTTTTTTGAGAAGTTTAATTCGACTCCATTGAATCCTAATGTTCGTACGAGGTGTAATTGATAATTCAGAGAAAAAGCGAGTTAAATGAATATTTGTTGGGTTAGCGAAGCTTTGAGAAACGAGGAGACAAAAAGGCTAATTACAAATTACGGACTGTATTCGGACGGCGAAAATTGCAGTAGACTAATTGTAAAGGCCCAACCGACACGCTCGTATGTATCGAAACGATTCCAAAGACAGCGAAAATTACAGGCCCCATTTTCGGAGTATCTTCTGGGACTTTTCTTTATCCTCTATTCCGAAGCCTCTTATCACCGTGCCGTCGTATAAATGAATGATTCAACGAAATTCCTCCAACTTATCACACATATAGAGCAGTTCCGACTTAATCGACATCTTTCAGACCTATTTCCATCTAGAGATGGCTCTTCGCCCCGTCGATGGTTATTTTTTAAAGTTATTTTTATGAAGGCGCCCATTTTCCGCCCTATTCGTTCAGGAAACGTTGTAAATTTGATGCGGTCGTACGATAATGAGTTCGCACGTTGTTCAACGCTATTAAATTTGTATGCGACCTATATAGACTTGAGGCGACTGAGACGACAATGTCGCTTTCGTATTACGCGTAAACATCATCGAATACACACTTCGTAACGACCTTTCCAGTTTAAGATGTTTCTTTGTCTATGCTTCCTCGCGAAAACATTACCTCTTTACAGTGGGTATTTATGCGCTCCTTCATTATTGCATTTATATAGAGCTGTTTATACATTATAGGGATAAGGAAATAAGGTAATCTTGCAAATTGGATTTAGAAATGCGCGATATTTAATTCCGTTTTTTTTTTTAATTTGTTTAGTTTTTTTCTGATGTAGTTGACTTTCCATCTCTACCATTTTTCCAAGAAATCGCCAACAGACTCTGCGTTTTCCGGTTTCTGAAACGTTTTCCGGTAGTCTCGAATACCCGAACAGTTCTTTCAGATCCTACGCGAAAAATATAAATCATTCTTTTTATGGAGGAACGGTTAGATTTATGACGTACATAGCTTGAACAACCTCCATTAAGTTACGGTCTAAGTCTAGTACATAACCATACATGGTTTATTCGGCATTTTAATTGTTCAACCCTTTATATTCATTGTTTTTATCCTTAGCTTTAATTTTTATATCGGGGTGATTTATATGTTTATAAATATTTGAACGAATCGACAAACTGAAATTATATTCAGCAAAACAATAAATAATTAATTGCGGACCGTTTTGGCCGGTGCCTCGTTCGAAATTTATTGGAAATATAATTTCCTCTGAAATATTATCTCAATAATGAAATTATGTCAGACATTCATAAGTTATGAGGGCAATTAATATCTCCATCTATAGGAATCGGGACAATGGAGATTTTTTGCGAATATTCCGAATACTTCTTTGAATGTAAATCGGCGATTTACATGATGGCTGTTAATAAAACAATACCATTAATTGTCAAAATCTACAAAGATTTTTTGACATTCATTTTATGGTATACTTTTTGCATAATTTCCACTAGATACTAGTTAAAAAGTAGATTTTTTTATAATCAATCCTGAAAATATTGCCTTGCACTACTGTTTCCTTGTTGGGACAGTGTTATAAATCTCGAACGTAACTGGATCGGTAGCCACTTCCGCTAGATGTAAGCTAATCCTGCGGTCAGAGGTCCTTATTGTTCAGCTGAGACACTGTTGTTCGTATGTACAAACAGAGAAACAGTCGGGAGGGATGGACGTTACATCAACGTCGAGAAGTGGTCAGATTATTGTTTGGACGAAGACGGCGTGTCTCGAATTTCTCGCTATGCCAGCATTCTTAGGTATAGGAGGATCGGTCTTTGAGCTCTGAATTCTGAATACGAAATGCGAAATGATATGCTTACTTTTAGGTTTGTAGTTTTGTTATTGCGGATTCTGCAAATACTTCCGTTTTATTTGCAGCGGTTCCCGTTATGACCGGATGCCGGAAAAAATATCGAATAACAAAAGGGAACGATATAGAGCTCCTTCCAAACGTATGTACATATCTAAGTTGGTTTAATTTATACGTTTCTCCTTCATTCTTCGTTCGATTTGGAAAAATTATTTCAGTCTAAAAAATCTATTCAGGAAGTAAGACATTTAATTATCTACAGATTTGTTTCAACCAAACATTTTCTAGTAGGTATAGAAGTTGTGGTTGTAATTATATTGGGTGTATTCTAAATACTCTCACTCCAATTATAAAAGTATTGAAATTAGTTGTATTATATTTACGAAAACTTTTCTTTTAAGCTATTTAAATTACTTCTCTCAAGAAAATAAAAATTCAAAACAGTTTAGAGTAAAAACCCTTTTTCATATTGATCTGTAACAAATATTTCTGTAGAGATCACATTAAGAGACCATCACATAAGAGACCAGATTGAAGCTGCATTGACCACACTAGAATAAGCGCTGTTATAGTTCATTTCGAGTTTTATAAAAGTTCTATAGCTTTTTAATAAGCACACATGTACAAGCAAAGGTCGAATTCGCCCGTTCGCTTACTCGGCTTAATTAAAAATTGTAAAGCTCGTTTTGAAAATATAAACTGAACGGCTTAACTATATTATTAGCACAGAAGAAACTTTTGATTCATTCATCTCCGCTATATTTCTTTAAAAACGGCATACATAAACGAGCCATTTCGGAAAACTTTTGCCCGATTTAAAATTAAAACTCGCAGTGACGCTTTGGTAATTAAATCCCCGTCTGAAGGAAAAGAGCTTTTTTTGCTTTATTATTTTTCATTCGAATTTTATTTTTTTATGTTGTTCTTGTTGTATATCGAAAAAGCAAACTTAGTCGTTTTAAATTCAAAGCGAAAGGATTTGGAAGTTTCTCGTCAAAAGTAACATTTATGAATAAATTCTTGGAAACTTTATGAATAATTAAATCACTTCTTTTAGATAATTCTCGAGTCGACTCATTTATATTCAAAATGTTAGGTTTTTTTAGTGTACCTAACTTTCTAACGTACCTATAAATTAGTTTACTAGTTTCGTATCTAAGATATATATTTATTTAAATATGAGAATTTAAGGTAAAGTCTAATTTTCATTAAAAAAATGTAGAAAAAAATCGATAGATGCGAACAAAAATAATACAGTAAAAATATTTCATTGTAAATACTAAAACTTGCACTTAGATTGATTTGCTTACTCGCACTTATCAGAACACTCTGGCTTCTTGGTGCTTGATTTCCCCGTATAAACAAATTTACGCGTTTTGTTAGACATAAACCTCATTTTGTACCAATACCACGATATTACTGAACCGACTATAAACCAACCTAAGCATTTGACCATCATCACTTTCCTATCGTCAAATTCCGGCTCTCCAGCCCATTTGAGAAAAGTAACGACATCCTTGGCCAGTTGACTGGCATGAGCTTGAGTACCATCAGAATATGTAGCAGATTCTGAAAATAGCGGTGGGGCCATAGCTATAGAACCTCCAAGAAAATAAGGATTATAGTACAATCCTTCTTTTAATGTTACACCTGCAGGTGGTTCACAGTAGCCAGTCAATAGCGAGAAAATGTAATTATCGCCTAAAAAAAAATAGTATTTAAAAGCCAAATTGGTATTTAAGTATTTTTAAAAGATAAGGAGTCACGTCTAATACTAACCACCTTCTCTGGCTAATATTATGTAAGTTAAGTCGAGTGGGTAGGATCCACCGTTGGCGAAACGAGCAGCTTCTTCGTTGGGATATGGAGGCGGAAATTTATCGGATAATTTCCCAGGACGCTGGAACATATTGCCTTCTTCATTGGGCCCGTCTTCGACCATTTGCTGCTCAGCTTCGGCTTTCGCCTCTGCTTCAGTGTGCGTAACTCCAACCAGTTCTCGAAAGGTTACGTGTTTAAGCGAATGGCAGGAGGCGCAAACTTGCCGGTAGACTTCGTAACCACGTCGTAAACTACAAAATAAAGTAGCATCTATCTGTATTCTCTTCCGGAATACTTAACTAATCGAAATCTGTACAAGTAAACATGACTGATTTTAGAATACAGAGCTACCTCGCATGGTCTAGTGCTGTAATTATGCCTTTGTAGGCCCAAGGAAATCTGGGAGGATGAAGTTCCATTTCTCCTGCCTTCACTGCTTGGTCTAAAGTATAAATAACGATGCCCGTACCTGTGGCTAATAAACCTAAGGTTCTGTAAAACTGAAAATATTTTTATTGTCAATGTGTAATTTTCGGATAGTATTTTTAAAATTACCACTTTTTTACTCCCGAACCATAATTTTCCGGTCGAGTTAAGACGAGTCTAAAATAAAAATCATTAATTAACTTAGAATCAATTTACATTGAACGTACATTTTTACTTGCGTGAAATTCGTCTTATATTTCAAGAGTTTAACACCAAAACTCCTGCTTAAAATTAAAACCATATTTGACAATTATTTAATCAATAAAAAGTCATATTTTCGCCATCTATAGTTCAATTTTATAGTAATCACTTAAGGGGTAAGGCGGGAAAGCAGACGCAAAAATTCTTCTTGTCCACCTTGTCTTTATAACGAGGCAAATTTTTCAAGTGCTAAAAAACCTCGGTGCAGCCGTTTATTACGAAACAACGTGTGTATCCTTGTTAGGATATCAGATGCGAAAAATTATGCAACATACTTCAGATGGTAATCGCTGAAGAACATGTTTAATGCGAGTGTGTGGATATCCAGGTGCCATTTCAATATATTCCGCGTCAGATTTGACGTCCCCCGACCGATAAAGAGAAAACAGAGATAAGTCTTGCGTAATAAATGCAAAGGTTAAGGCGGCTCCACTTATAGAACTCGTCCGGAGTTTTAATTACAGCCCTTTTATATCTTATGCATCTACTTAAAATATATCACTATATCCTAGTCAAATGTACCAAAAAGGTAACAAAATAAACCTACAGAATAATAGTTTATTAAATACCATGATAATAACAAATTACAATAAATAAGTAAGGTATTAATTTTTATTGAAAAATTTTCAAAATGCATTGTTTTGACATTGCCTGATATCTTGGGCATGTGTCCGTGCAACTGTAATTTATAATTTGACGGCAGGAGCAACAAAAACATGTGTCATTTGAAGTCGAGTGTTTGGTCACGTACTTCCTGCACGTACTCCAGGCAGTTGATCATTCCGACTCAATTTGCAAAATTAGTAGTTTCTACTGCAGGAAATTGCACACAGACTTGGTGAATAATAAAATAAAATAAAACGTATTTAGAGACATAGTTGGATGTGGAGGATTGGCTTTCTATTTTATGTATTAACGACTTCAGTCGAGCATCTCTGTTTTTGTATATACTCTTCTGATTATTATTCAATCCCTGTCATTGCTCTAATTTACGAGGCGAATGTATTATGAAACTACAGGATTTCTCTTCTTATTTTGACACTGTGCTAAATTTACTACTTACAGTGCGATAGTGATATCTTTAGAAGTAACCGTCGCGACCTTGACATAAAAATCTACAGTATAAACCCACTGCGCATTGTTTTCTTACATCTCCAGCTATTTCTGTCGTACTGTACCTATATCCTCGATATACCTACATACTTTAAATATCGACATATTTGTTTTGGCTTTTGTGAAAACAATATATCATGCTTTCGTGCCAAAGTGAATTAATGTTTAGATTTAATTTTCTAAAGTGAAGGAAAATTTGCAAGCTCGTCAGTTTTAACATAATTTTCATACTCGACAATCTCTTCTAAAACTTTTTAACACTCGAAATCTTATTTGCGAAAGTGAATTCTCTTACATATTTAACGAAGTTTATCTCGCCTAAATTTTATCTCTAACTTAGTCCGAAGTGTCGTTTGAGTTATATTGCTGAGATATTCGAGATTAATTCAATCAATGAATTAAGTAGATAAAAATTCAAGAACTATACTTCGTCCAACCAACGGAGCAACTAAAACAAGATTAGACGCTGGATCAACGCGTGATCACCAGTGATTGGCCAGCGTAAGGAGGCTTTTTTATTTTACCCAATAGATGCAAATGTGCTTGATAATCACGCGTCTAACCTTGTTTTGATTACTCCGTTGGTTGGATGGATGAAGTTTAGGTATTTCTGTACATGTAAGTGATCGTTTAGAATCGATAAAAACACTGAAAAGCGCCGTATCTAATGCATTAATTAGCTGCATAACTAATATTTCGTAAAACCTGAAGTAATTCATACTCTGTCGTGACCGACTTCAATCTGTTGGAGTTACCGGGCGTAATTTTCCCACATAAAGTAAACATGTAATTACTTCCCGTACGACTTTTCCGACGCTTCACTTTGAGTTGGTAATTCTCGCGATATTCTTGCAAAGCGGCATTACTGCTTGTCATTTGTTACCATTATTAATTAGTTACTTTCTGGGTTCTCTCATTCGCCTCGCTCTCTTGGTAATCGACTCAATTAGAATAATAAACTTCGATAGAAGTAATTATTATGGGAATTTTCTCATTTACATACTTGCGCTATGTCGAACGCGTTTTTATTATACATTCGACGGAATAAGTGGGATTAATTGGTATTCATGCAGGTCTTCCTTATCAAATGATAAGCGGTAAAGAGATAATCAGTAGATTTATTGTATAGCGATGGTGATACAGATGGTAAATTGACAATAGCAAAGTATGTTCTATTTTTATGTATAATATAATATTAATCTAGTAACCAATGAATTGTTAAGCAATTATTAATTAATTTTATGTATTGCTATATTTTTTGCTACCTATATTTTTTACATGTAATGAAACCCTTTGTACCCTATATTACATACTAGGGAAAGACGTCGAAGTACCTACTAATGATAATCCCTCATTACCCTAGCTCTATACAAGCTTTATAAGGATTACTGAGGCTAATAACATTTCATATTTTGATATATATTCGATCTGATATACATTTCACGTTCTGGTTAATTATAAAGCGCATAATTAATTTTGTTCCTGCCGAAGACTGGATATTTATATTTAACTTGCCGTCCGTTGGAATGCAGTGGCGGTTTCCTATTAGTCCTTTTTTCATTAGATTTCCTGTTATACTGTACCGACCATGCGAGAGAACGAATTACCTATTAAAGGTTGCATTCGTTATATATTTTTGAATCTATTAAACATGAAGGAAAATATAGAATGTTCGCAGCAAACCAGTCGAATTAATGCGCTGGATGATGACATGAATAAATCAATGTTGGAAGTATGGAAATCATAACGTAAAAACGCATTGCTTTACTCACTAAATAAAGTATTCTTCTTGCAAAACTTGTTCGTGTATGATGCAATTATTTTGCCTTATTATTATTAATATCCTGTTATGCGGTAGCGACTGCTCTAAGTCTGGATTTCTGATGCTATTGCGTGTGAGAATTTTGTGAAAATTATGTGCTTTGCAATATAGATAAATATTATACGGGCATTAATCAAATTAACATCTCCACAGTTTCCCGGCTGCGACACCGCAACCGTTACGAACAATTCATGCAGAAATCCATATTTTCCGCAACCGAAATCCGCTTATACGTGCCGAAACCGATAAAAATTTCAATTAGATTTTATCAGTTTACGGAATCGAGTCATGATATACGGTCGAATCCGTAAAATAACTCCGTACTCGCGCGGGCAGTGAGTACAGGAGTCGTCCGATAAACCGACCTAATGATCCAGAAACTAATCTACGAGCGATTGCGAATCATTTGTTAATTAAACTAACCGCCGTTAATTAATTGATTAACCGTACGAAATTGTTTCATTGGCTATTGCTGTTTGCGATTCGGTCGGCGAATAAGGCATTATTGTAAGGGCCAATCGGAATGCTGATTTCGTACACTCGCTAACAAAGAAAAATTGCTAAAATTCTATTCATATGAACTTTTTCACGAAAAATCTTGATTTGAGTCTTTAAGACATTAACCACTGTATAATTTTTTCTTTAGTACTTTTGATAAAACCTTTAAAAAGTTAAACTGCTATTTTTTTATTGTAATTAACTACAACTACCTAGTACACTACAAAAAATGTTACAGAATATTACGTTGGCAATTTTGTTACCTACGTAATATTATGTAATTTTTAAATACGGTATATATACTGTAAAAAATTCTCTTAATATATTCTGGATACACAATTTATACGGTTAAATTACAGAATATATAATGTAATGCATTACATTTTTATGTAAAGTCTCGAATTCCGGTGTAATTTTACAATGTAATTTCAGTATTACCTGTCTAGTTCTGTAATTTTACAGTCTTACATGATAGGCTATGTATTATAGTTATTTACATAATTTATTTAGTAAAACATACATAATAAATTAAGGAAAATTACAGAATTTTTTTTCAGTGTAGGAAAGAAAACTAAAGGTAATGGTAAGACCAGACGCGTGAAGTCTTCAAATGTTACTTACTGCATGTAATCTCATTGGCCGATAAACTTGCCTTTTCTAGCACCAATTGAATTTTGATCATACAATTGGGAATCGAATAAAACTCGACGGACTATAACAATAACAATTCCACGGAATGTACTTAGATAAATTGTTACATCTTTCTCGACGTCTGTGCGGAAATTCAAAACGGCTCAATGCGGAGGTATTTCCATCGGTAATGGTCTTGAATTTTTAAAACTATATACGACGCCCGTGCTAGCCCAACTGGTCAGAAGTACATTTAAAATGTTTTTTGTTTTTAATGTTGGATTGTTGCTAAAATACTAACGAAATATTGTATTTATAAACGGAAATTTTAAACTTAATTATAACAATTTTTCTATTTATCTTTACATGTACCTAGTGCAAAATCATAGAAGTGTAGTACTACACCCTGTAGACATACTTATTGGAATTATGCACCTTGTATATACCCTAAAAATCTCTTAAATTTTAAATAACGAAGAATGGAATAATGGAAAATATTATTTACCCTGTATAAGAAAAATATTTTGAATAATAAAGGAGAAAAGGGCATGTAAAGGTGGCTTCCCACGGCCCGTCCTAGCACGGGCCGGACCAGGCAAGCTCGCGCCAACAGGCCATGGGAAGGGTGTCGTCCGAGATCGTCCGGGATGGCCTGTCCGATCCGCCGAGAGTCGGTAAACTTCAAAGGCCCGTCCTAGTCCGACCCATCACCGTCTGTTTATCTGTATTTCAAAACACTTTCGAAGAATAGGAATTCCAATTTTATCAATTTATCAAAATTATAAACAATTTTTGCATCGTAATTAGCTAAATGCAATACCAAAATGAGTAGCTGAATATGAATATTGTAATATAAACTTTCTAAAAACTGTGAAATTTGAAAATATATCTAGATTTGAGGTTCTGATGCACCCCTAATTTTATGCTGAATCAAATAGTTTTATTTGCACACTTGTTTCGTGAGGTTGTCTTTAAAATATTTCG